TCAGATTCAACACTCTGTTCATTACAGTTATGTTAGGGTGGTGCTTCTCAAAGAAATTTTGGCAGTCATTCCATTTCATCATAATGGATTTTATCACAACACTTTTAACCTTTTCCCCACCTTCCTCTTCCTTGGTGTAAAGCTCTTTAACAAGTGCTTTCTGCTGCTCTGCTAGAGTTCAGTAAGCTCTGTCATCAGCTCCTCCATGCAGTCCTCAACAAGCTCCTTTATGTCTGCACCATCGATGTCCAGACCCATACTCTTGCCCATGGACAGATCTCCTCCACTACCTGTGCACCAGACCCTTCAAAGTTATGTTCAGTGACACATTCCGGCCACAATTTCTGAGGCTGAGTTCAAGATCCAGTATGTGACATCTTCCCAGACTTTGTCAGTGAGGTCAATGCAGGAGAGGACACTGAAATGTTTTTTCCAAACTCTCATAAGAGTCAAGGACATCTTTTCAGTGACATCAAAACATCTGATGAAGAGTGCCTTTGTGTACAGCTTCTTGAAGTTGCAGATCACTTGCTGGTCCATGGGCTGCAGAAGAGGTACTGTGTTGGTGGAGGTGACTTGACCTTTATGAAGTCATATTCAGCATCCATATCATCCACCAACACTGGAGAAGACGGCACCTTTCAGGCAGGTAGTTATCAGAAAGATATTTCTTAATAGTGGGTGTGAACACCTCATGGAGCCATTCTATGAACAGTTGCCTTGTGACCCAAGCTTTCACCTTGGCCTACCACAAGACAGGCCGTCTTACCTTGTCCACGTTCTGTTCCTTGAATGCACAAAGGGCTTGGGCATGTACACCAATAGTGGCTTAATTTTTGGATTGGCGCTTGAATTTACACACAGGAAAGGGGCCAATCAGTCCTTCATGGGATTATGCCCAGCAGTGCCTTCTGTGTGATACAGGTTCTGTTTAGCAACTTCTTCCAAAAGAGCCCTGTTTCATGGCAGTTGAACACATGTCGAGTGATGTATCCTTCTGCCTTCATGAATTTCATGAATTCTTTCTTATAGGCTTCTGCAGTGTCCTTGTCAGAACTGGCAGCCTCACTACGTCTTATCACATTGTGGATGCTACTTCTCTTGAGAAACCATCCCTTCTGGCTTTAAATTCATCACTTGTTGCACTTGTAAAGATATATTCTTGCAATAAATCATTATGCAATTTCCTGGAATTTTCACAGATCATAGTTTCAATAATGCTACCACCTGCCAGCTGTTTCTCATTCAACCACACTAATAAAAGTTTTTCCAAATCTTTCAGCACTTGTGTCCTCTGCTTGGTTAACATTGTTACTCCTTTTGCCACATCAGCTCCTTTGAAGGCATCTTTATTCTTCAAAATAGTTGAGACTGTCAACTTCACCATCTTGTACTCAAAGGCCAGGAATACACAAACACCATGCTCATGGTTTTCTACAATTTCCTTCTTCATCTCAATGGTTTTTTTCTTCAAAACCTTCTTATCATTCTTTTTTTTTTTTTTAAGAATAGGAAAAATTTATTGAGGGAAAGAAAGCTTCTTTCCATCTAAAAGAGACAGAAGGGGGACCAGAAAGCGGGTTGCCCACCCACCCCACTTCTCAAAGATGTTTTGTACAGCAAAGCCATGTGGTGAGACAGGTATAAAGTGGGACAAAACTACAAGACCCAATGGAAAATTGCAAGGGGGGCATGAGGTGGGGCAAAACCATGACCAACCAAGACTGTACAGTCACCCAGGTAATACTGATTAAATAAGGATCAAATGGGGGAGCAAGTCATGTAGCCAGCATACCTTCTTATCATTCTTGCTCTGCACTTGTTATCTTCAGTATTGATCTGCACATTCCTGGTTACTTTACATTATGGATCTGCATGTTCTTGTCACCTTTATTATAGCTCTGTGCTTTCTTTTTACCACCATGCTTGCTCTGCACTTTTTTGGAGCAATGATGGATTGAATAATTCTATACAGGACTGTATGTGCTAAAAGCACACAAAAAGCTTCACAGAAAGTGTGCACAGGTCTGTCCATGATCTCAACCAGAGGAAGCCAACATGTGTCAGAGTGGGAACATAGCCACAGTCAAGTTCATTACTCAATTTGGAGTTAGCTAACAGAAGCAAAATTCTGCTGAATGCTTTTGTTTGCGAACTGAATTGTTCTTAAATAGAAGTGTTTGTGAACCAAGGTATTACTGTATGTACTCATTGTACATATAAACTATACATATTAAAAGTCCATCTCACTTGACCTATCCTATACAAGTTTTTCTTTGAGCTATTAAAAATTAAATATGATTCTTCTTCCAAGAACTTCCAAAGCAAAATAGTAAGACAAAACACATCTTATTCCCGTATATAACTAAGAAAATAAGGAAGTAGGTATAAATTATTCAAGGAATATTTTTTACCAGAAAATCGGCCCCAGAAGGCAGGACTATGGTTCTTGTATCACTGGTACTTAAAATATGTCTGACATATAGTAAGCATTCAATAAATGTTCACTGAATGCAAAGATATATGTATGAATGTATACATGCATTCACTCATGCTTATGTGACATAGTTAAAACTCGAGGACTTCAGTAAATAACATATCTAATTTGAGTCAAGTAAACGTCACAATAGAAATAAGATTTTTAAAATCGATATGCTAGTGCTATATAAAGGTGATAGCAACATTCCAGAAAATGTTCACTGTCATTATCTGTATTTTATGTGTTGATGTGACTGAGCTACAGACTGTCCAGATATTTGGTTAAAAACTCTATTCTGGGTATTTTTGTGACAGTACTTTTTAGAGATGATATTATATTTAAATCTTAATAAAACAGATTGCCCACCCTAATGTGGGTGGGCCTCATCCATTCTGTAGAAAGGCCAAATAAGACAAGAAAGGAGAATTCTTCTGGGTATGGTAATGCATGCTAGTAAATGCCAGCACTCAGAAGGCTGAGGCAGGAGGATCACCATGGGTTCAAGACAAGCCTGAATGTGTTCAAGACCAGCCTAACAACAGGGGGGTGGATTTTCAGCTTAATAGCTTTGAACTGGGTCATAGAGTTTTTTCCTGCCTTCAAACTATAACGAAAACATTGGCTCTTCTTGAGTCTTGAGCCTCCCAGCCTTCAGGACAGAACTACAGCATCAGCTTTCCTGATCTCCAGTGTTAAACCTGATGACTCACCCTTCGGATATCGGGACTTTCCAGTCTCCATCATCTGTAATGTGAACCAATTCTTTACGATAAATCGATTAATCTTTCCTGGACATATATAAGGATTGGTTCCAGAATATTCCCTATACTAAAACCCATGGATGATCAAGTCCCTTATATAAAGTGACATAGTATTTGCATACAATCTATACATATCTTGTATACTTTAAATCATCTCTATATTATTTATAATATCTAATACAAAGTAAAGCTGTATAAAATGTTTAGCTGTGCTGTTGAGGGAAAAATCACAAGAAAAAAGTCTATACATATTCAATACACATACAACCACCACAGACCTAACTGCATACCACACAAATGAAAGAAGAGGCAAACAGTGCTTAAATAATGACTGCTAGAGAGACTCAGGATTTGTGAAAGGGTACAATACAGTGTGCCTACATATAACTTCATTCTCACTCTCACTCTCATGGATAAAGCACGGTATTTGGTGTATAGAAAATTCAAGTTTTGCTTCTGGAACTGTCTTTTTTTTCAGTATTTTTGATCTGTAATTGGCTGCATCCACGTATACATAGTCAGTGCAGATGGAAAACTAACAATATATCCTACTGGTTCTATTTCTCTGAAGAATTCTAATAAAACATCATAGGCTGACTCTTGAATGAATAAATGACCAAAACCAGCCTTGTATTTATTCTGATACTGTGTATGCAATCTTTTTGACCTCCCTCATGCCTACTAACAGGGATTCTTGGGTTTCTCAACAGGTAATATTCGATGAGGAAGACCACAATAGAAATTATTCTAGAAACAACTTATGAAACAAAACAAACTCTCAGACCACACCTTTCTCAGTGGTCTTGAGTTAGGTAACTAATTGAATTATGATTTGTCAAGAACCCTTATTCTGTTTTTAAAAACAAATCATCCAAACTAAATGGGCTTGTTTGAAAAAGCCCATTTAAAAATACTCATAAAATATATAGGGAATAAATGAAAATGAATAAAGATTATGAATAAGACATTTATAGAAAAAATACAAAGAGCTGGTTATCAAAAGACTCATAAACTCATAACTAAGAAAATACAAAGAAATATCATTTTTAACCTATGACACTGGAAAAAACTATGAATTTTCCTAACAGCTAGATAAGGTTAAGAGACATTCTCATTCACTTGTGAAGAGGTTTTCTTTAAGAGATATATGTAGCACAACCTACTTAAATTTTAAAAATGTACATACTGTGTGACAAAGATATTCTGATTTGATTTGATCCTACAGATGTACTCACAAAAGAATGCCAAGATTGACATAGTTCAATGTTTGTATGAATAAAAACCAAAACAAAACAATGTCCCACCCTTCAATAGCTTAAATATTTATCACAATAAATATTTAAAAATAATTAAATAAACAATTGTACACATATACCATATATTACTCGACAGCCATTTGTTACAAAAGCACATGGACTCTTGATACAAAAAAACAGACCCAAGATATGAAACAAGGTATACTTTATGTAAAATAATCCCTTCTTATATATTTTAAAGAAATAAATATAAATATATATTAGTAGTAAATAGAGGCAGCCATGTAGCTCAACAGATAGACTTATAAACATCTTCCTGGAAGCATACTCTAGAAACGTATTAATGATTACTCTGGAGGAGGAAAGACTAGCTTTTGGGTGGAAAGCAAGATAATATGTACTTTTTGAAATGTTCTATATGGTATGAAATGCTCTGTATGGTACATTTAATTCCATGTATAACTTTTATTTTAAAACACTATTTTAAAAGAATTCAGTTTTCACCTGATTGGTTCAAGTAGTGCTTAACAACCGAAGAAACTCCTTGAGGTGCCACAAAGTTACAATCTCCTTCTTTCATCATCGTTCCTTCAATAGGAGAGACCAGAGGCTTCAAAACGCCATGTGCTAACAGCTCATCATAAAAACTGAAATAAAGTAATACACGTAAGTACAATAATATGAATGCATAATATACATGTATAGAGTAATAAATGTTTATATAAGTGTATACTATTAGTTCTATAATTCTATTCTCTAAGAACTCTTTATAATTTCAAATCATAACCAGAAACCTTTATATGGTTAATGCACACTTTGTGCTAAACAAAACTTAACTCAGGTAAACAACAGAAATGTTAAGAGAATCCATAGATCTGCTAACATTAGCCAAAGCCCTATTTTTCCATATAACTCAAAATTAAAGTGAAAGAAAATAAACAGAAATATTACTTAGCACACCACCTTTAAACTTGTTTAAGACTGACATCCGTCGCAGTTTTTGTCCTCCTGCTCAACACTAACAGTAACTAAATTTCTCGAGCCTTCTATTTGTTTCATACTCCTTCTCATGTAATCTTCCCAACAATTCTTTGAGGTAGTAATTACGGTTTCCTTCTTCACTCAGGTTAACCTTTTTCTGCTAATACTATCGACAATGTTAATATAATTTCAGTAAACGACACAAAGTTTTAAACTGTGTTAAAAAAAGATGTGTCCTTTTACAGTGTACAATTTCCAAGATTGATTCTGTCCCTGGAACTAACTTACGTTTGGTGTTTTTTGTCATACTGAGGAGTGCAGGTGACATACTGAGCGCCCAAATCAGCTGTGCAGAGTGGATTATGAGGACTGATGGCTGTGGTCATTCTTCCCCCTTAAATTAATTCATAGGTAATTGTCAGCGTATTAGAATAATTCACGGCCTACCTTACTACAAATTTTTTTCAATTACATTAAGAGGTCTTAAATTGAAGCCTTTGTCATCTAACATTGTTAAGAAGTAGTTAACAGAGACGACTTGATCACTGTGAGATTACAAGAGAGGTAAGAAGCAAGGCAATGAGTGAGGGGGAAGGACATACACACTCAGAAGTAAACCACAAGTGCCTAGCTCTGTTAAAATTCATTTATAAGGGACCCGGGTCAATTCGCACTCGCCATGATGTGCATTCTCGCCGCAGAGCAGAGCCCCGCCCGTCCTCACCGCCCAGTCCCCGCCGCCCGCTTCCGGGTCTCCCGCCAGGTCCGGAGAGGAAGTCTCCGATCACGTGACCACGGGCGCCTCCGGGCCTTTCGGGGGCAGCAGCCGGGCCGCTCCCCGGACTTGCTGTGGCGTGGGCTACGGCCATCTAGAGTCGGCCTCGCGCGCCACTTAGGTTTTGGCTGTTAAACAACCCACCTGAGTCGCCAGCCTCTTCCCACACGGCGAGGTAGAGGGGACTGGACGCCTCCTTTCTCAAGAGCGCGGCGCACAGGCTTCCTGTCAGCCCAGCGCCCACGATCAGTACCCACTTCATGGCGAGCGGGTGCCACGGGATGCGCCTGGGCCCGCGGTGAAGCCGCCGGCCTGGGATGGGGGCTTGGAGCACGCGACTGAGCCTGCTTAGCTCTGAACGCTCGCGCAGGGGTCAGTGGCCGTGCCCTGTGCGG